TGTCATCACTGCATCTCTAAAGGGGTTTGGTTGTCCCAGACAAAGTGGAGAAGCTTGTCCTGAGGGATGCTTTTGTTCTGGGAGCCAGTGGCACCCATGCTATTGGCTTCAGCCATTGTAGGTTTCTAATCTTAACAGAAGCAGGAGGGCATCTACACCCACAACTTCCACAAAAATTAGGCATATTTAAATGCAGCTTTTTCTTCCTAGTTTTGTAACTGTGCTAGAAAGTCATTACACAGGGATTTATTTATCCTTATCTCTTGGATTATCATCGGCTTGCTTCCTTCCTTCCTGGATGAATTTATCCAGTGTTCTGATTGCAGCTGTTTTTTTATCACCTCCTGTCTGTGGGCCTTAAGACTTTGTATGTTTAACATAATTGAAATGGGTATTTTGCAGCAATTGACAGGATAATTTTCCACCGGCTGGTGGGTGGTTACAGTGAATCTTTTTTGCAGACTACTCACTTTGGCAATTTGCTCTTTTGATTACAGACCTGCTTTATTTTACTTCTTGTTTTTTATTTCTTTTATTGTCCTTGTATTTTACTTCATTTTTGCAACGGAGCCACATGTTAATCTGATTTTGGAGAGGGGAAATTAAGACAACATTTTAGGCTTTAAGAAACTTACACAGAGATTCAGACAGCTGGTCAAACATAAATCCAGTATGCGAACAGGGTCATGAATATCTTGGAGACCAGCCCTTTAAAATACCAGGGCATATATATTTGTCTCTTTAGTCTCTTTCTTTGGACTGGGCTTGGAATTTGATTGTAGGGTATTGATTATTTCTGGGCTACTGTAACAGTTGCACAAGGAACAAGGAGGAAACAGGGGAAAAAAAAAAAAAGAATGCATGAGTAGGAGTTTAAGGGAAAGTGGTGTCAAAAGATTTTAAAACAAAAAATCTGTAAATTGCAAGAGACATGTGACCAACAACGTCCTACAGGGGCTGATTATTAGAACGAGGAGATCGTCATCCTTCCAGAGCTAAAATGCTGACTTTTGTGTGCCTGGGGATGTGGGGAGAGAGGGACAAGTTTGGTATAGGATGTGGTATTTAAACTAGGAGGAACTTCTTAGGGCTTTCTGTGTACAAGGAGAAATGAACATTTTTACTGAAGTATCTTAAATTTTGTTCCTAAGAGCAGTTGTGGTTTTGTGTTAGCTGGCTGATACTTACTCTCCACAGGTTTTTAGACATTTTATATTAAAAATGCATCTACCTGAAGACTTGTTCCAAAGCCTGAACACTGTATGAGTCACATAGTGCTATTTCGGTTTTGGCTGTGTATATAAATTCTTCCTCAACAATAGAAGGTTTTTCCCCTAATTGTCATTGAAACAGGCCGTTTTTTAATTATAAAATAGGTATCAACACAGCTTTACATCAGAATGATAGTGATTTGTCATATAAAACAGTTGGGATAATTTCAGTGCAAGTGTCTGCATATACCAGCTATAGCACAATAATCAGATTATGAAAAATAACCCTTTTTAGAAGTTGTATGGACAAACCCTGATTGCTTGCCTACAGAAAGAAAGATGGTAAATTATTTTAAATATTAAACACCAGTTGAGGCAATTAATTTTTAATGAGGCCAATGAAAAACTGGTTTTGCTTGTATTCCTTGGAATGCCCTTTCGAAGGCTTTGCTTTTCCAAAATTGGTTTTTTTTCCTCTGTGTGTGGCACAGGATGTGACTTGATTCACAGCAGGTAGGTTCATTAGTTGGCATTTCTGGTATAATATCCAGCTGTGGAAAGCTTATAAATATTGGTATTTACGTCATCTTAATCAGGTCTTGAAATAAGGATTTAAGATAAAATGGAATAATTGCACACTCTTAACTGAGGCTGAACTTCTTTGGTGAGAAGAGGGTGCCATTCCCAGGCAGAATGAAAGGATTTCAGCAGAGTTGCTGCAAATCTACCTCATCAGTGCTCCTGTGTTTGTGCAAGGAGCTGAAATGATTAAAACATTTATTCCGGGGAGACATGTAAGATATAGCAGTTTTCACCTGGGTTGGGAGCTGAACTGGATATCCTCAGTTTCACTGCTCCCAGTGCCAGTACAGGGAGAGGATTGGGCTGGGGTAGCCACCGTTTGTATCACTGCAGGCTTTTGTGTGACCTGTGCTTCTTCATTGAGGGTGATCTGGGGAGGGTTTATCTGCTTTCTTCCTTCCTTCCTGGATGAATTTATCTGGAGTCGTGTTTACGTTCACACTAGTTCAGAGGGATCTCAGGTATCAAGTTCTCTCCCAGGCTGGGGTCCCCTCCTTTCTTTGTGCAGACTCACTTGACATGTTAGGACCCCAAAATGCTGCAGAATCTACTGGTGAAAAACAGTGTAAGTTCTTTCTTGCCAAGAGGGGTGGCAGCAGTTCCCACCCATCCTGTGTGGCATTTGAGGTTAACAAGTGAAAAAAACACAGAATCACAGAATCTTAGGGGTTTGAAGGGACCTTGAAAGATCATCTAGTCCAACCCCCCTGCCACAACATGTCTCCAGCAAAGGAGGCTCCACAACCTCTCTGGGCAGCCTGTTTCAGTGCTCTGTTACCCTCACAGTAAAGAATTTTTTTCCTGATGTTTATGTGGAACGTCCTGTGTTCCAGTTTGTACCCATTCTCCTTGTCCTATCACTGGACATCACGGAAGAAAGCCTGACTCTGTCCTCCAGGAGCCAGGAGTCAGCATCCTTGGTGCTGGGTTTAAGAAGTTACAACCAGCAAGGGAAGCCAGAGGAATCTGGACAGTCAGCAGGCAACTGAATGACCAGCGTTTAAAGCTACCCTGGAGCTGATGAACTGCAGTTTTGTGTATTTCTGCCAACCAATGCATCTGCCTTAACAACGGATGCAAATGTAGGATCTTCAAACCCATCTGTGCCCAGCTATTGGCAGTGAAGTTGAGGATGGTGCATAACGTTGGGTGAGGACAGGCTTGGAGGAGGGTTGCAGTGACAGCTGGAATTCGCATTTGATATTATACAAGCACCTTACAGCATCTAACAGGCATCTAGGGGAAATACTGTGTAACTAGTTTGATAAATGTAATAATATTAAGAAGGTGGCAAGGTTGTACTGTTGTTTTTCCGTCTTTGACCAACAACTTGCAAAGTAAGTTTTGATGTTGTAACCCCACAAGATGGGAGGATACCATAATTTAAGTGTATAATTAAGCTGATGACGTACAAAGAGTTATTAAAAAGCAACAGACATCATCTGGCATCAGTACTGCTGGTAGTTACAACTTCCAACGTTTGTTTATGGACCAATGTGGCTGAAAATGGAGAAGAAGCTCCTCCTCATCTGAATTTGTCCCTGTAAACTCATCTCTGCATCCTCCTGAAATGCAGTTTATTTTTTCTTAGCATTTTGAAGCTGTATCCTATCTTGCACCAGATCTTCTAAAATTCTAGCTTAGACAAAGCCTGAGGGGATTTAGGTTTGCATATTTTCCTAAGAGGATTATGCTTCACACTTTGTTGCTCTGTAAATTGTTTGAGGGGGTATTTTTTATGATTTTCTAGGTACACGAGAAACCACGTACACATTCAAATTGTCCTGAAATGTGGTGTCTGTGGGTTGGTGATAGAAATCTGGTGTTTGAACTAGTAGTAACCTGAATCACAAAACCTCAGGATTGTTTTGAACTGAAAAACATTTTGGTAATCAGATTTGCAGCATGGCTGCAGGAACAGTTGTAGCAGCACAACTGGAGGCGCTAGCAAATTGCAAGAAGGATTAGAAACTGCTTACACTGACATCAGAGGAAACAATTTATGGTGAAATACAGCCCAGGAATAAATTAATGAGCACCCTTCAAGCACAGGGGTGCTCACAACACACTTTAGGTTCTGTAACCTATTTACTTGCAGATAAAGGGAGTAATGTAGTTTGGAGGGAAGGATATTAAGGTAATTGGGGAAAAGTGGTGGTAATCTGTGAGGACTTTTATCATTTGGGTTCCCACTCATAAAATCACTGAAAAAAGCAGTGTAGGCCTTGGCAGTGGCCCCTAGGAGCAGTGGGTGCTGACACTCCTCATGCTATCGCAGCTGCTTAACACCCATTAACAGGGTCATTTTGATGAGCGCCAGCTTAGTTTTTCATTATGTGCCTGGGGTTGGCTGTATCTTACACATTTATGATTTGTATTTAACAGTGTTTTTTTCAGGGCTGGATTCAGCTCCTTGTTTTGTGCTGCTGTTGGGGTGTTTGAAGGTTGTGCAGCAGCAATTGCTGCTAAAACTAAGCCTGTACTGGGGCTTCTTTCCTGCCTGCTTCAACAGTTGGAAGAACTTGAAATTCTAAGATTTCATTAGTTCATTTCACTGAGGATGGGAGAGAGATCTGACTCAGTGTAGAACACTGGTTTAAAACAGGACTAAACTCATCTGCACTGCTTAGAGGGGTGGTTAGAGTTCCCTTCTAAACCACTGGTTTGTGCCCAGTGCTACTGGCTCCGTCATCTTTCATCTCACTTCAGTCATTCCTCACAGGATTGATGAGGTGAATATCACTGAGAAATCGGTGGCATTTATTTTGTATAAAGGGCAAGGGCAAAGAGAAGTGTCTCCTATGGCAGTGTAAACAACAGGCAGTCTCTGCATATCTCCACCTGCATAATTTTATCAAAGAACTGTACTTGCGGCATTACAAGCTATGCCACAGCACATGTGGGACTGGTGGTTGGTGGGTTTTAAACCCTTGGAGGAAGGAAAACTTGAAAGCACAGACTGAGGAAAAACTGTTGGGAGATTTCAAGTTCTGTTTTGCTATAGAAGCTTGTAGGGAGTAAACTTGCTTCTACTTGGGATCAAATTGCTTTAGTAAGGTAAACAGAACAGAATAAAATGGATTAATATGCAAAGGTATGGCTCAGCTAGTGAGCAGTGGTTTGTGAGCTTTACTTAATAGCAGCTCAGAACTTTCTCATGCCCTCTAACCTACAGGGATCTTTTGTGTTCTGTTTCTCTGCAGACGTCGGCTGATCTCACAGCGATCTTCTCTGGAGACTCTGGAGGACATCGAGGAAAATGCTCCACTGCGGAGGTCATTTCATTTACTCTCCCTCTGGTTACTTGTCTGTAAGGCATGTGCACGGATAGACTTGCTGTCCCTGTGCATGTTGGGAAGTAGTTGGGTGTTCATGTTGATCTTCATAGTGGGTAAAGGTATTGAAACCTCACGCACCCTGTAAGGTGATGGGTGACATGAATTATTCGTTCCCTGGCTTTAGGTTGTTAATTAAAAAAAATCAGTATTTAAATAAAATGTCAGGAAATAAAAAGTCAGATTTGATTAATTAAGAAGTTTAGTTGTCACTAAGGAATGACTAGCCTCTAACGCAGTACCTTTAAAAAGTAAGTATAGCTTCTTTAATAAAGGAAGCTTTTGAAGGTTAGTATTTTTAGTAATCTTATTTTCTATGTATTTTTATCATTTGTTCTCTTCATACACGCACTCTTACTGTGGTAACCAGCATTACCATCTTTGTTGGCTGGCAAGATTTGTGACTGCTACTTCACTAGTAAATCTGCCCCCCTCTGTTATACCAGTATCTACCATTCAGTTTTCTTTCTGCATCTGGGAGGCCAGAGCTTCTCTGGGGAATGCAGTAATTACATCACTAGGCAGTCCTCTGGGGTGATGGAAAATGGAGCAACTGCTTAACAGTTCAGAAGTGGACTGATCATTAATCTGACCAGTGTGTGGTATGCTTCCAGATCAGCTGCTTGGCACTGCAAAAGCTTAATTTTGAATGTCTCTTTATCTTGGGACCTGTAATTCAGCTGGTTTATATTGATATTTAGCCTATAGCCTTGTTTATCCGCATGCAAATTGGCTGTCTCTCCCCACCTTGAAGCAAAGACTTAATAGCAGAGGCTGTACCAACTGGCCTGTTACCAAGGCTTGATTGCTTTTACCCAGCTTCCTGTTGAATGCTTAGCAGCATGTTATGAAGCATTCTCATAAATGATTCAAACAGGTATAACTGGCAAAAGATAAAATCAAAGTAGCTTCTCAAGGCAGTACTTTTACTTGCCAATTTGCAGAATTGGTGGTAGAACGTGTCTCTTGGTACTTTCCCCGTGAAGAGGCTAACAAGGCTGACTGCCATTTCTGCCTCCCTCCTGTTAGAAAAATCCTTGACAATCCCTCACCCTCTAGTTGCAGAGTTATAGGGTGTCTCTCCCTCAGGGTGTTCCTGTGCAGCGTGATGGCATTTGGGACTGGCAGTCCCTGGTGCCTTGAGACCAGATCTGCGGTTTCAGTCCAACAAAAGGACCTCCTGGGGTTGGGCTGAACTCTGCCTGTGCATAGGGTGAGAAAAGAAGATTAGGGAGGCTCAACACAGGGACTGCGGCTTGGTCCCATGTGCCAGCAGAGGATGCTTGTCCCTTAGCTCCCATGGAGGATGCAGCGGCTGCGGTCCAGCCGCCCTGGCCACACAGCCAGCACAGGAGTTACCTCCGGTGCCTGCACGCCCTGCCCTGCCATGCAACAAAACAGCACTGAGAGGAGACAGAGAAAGCTTTCACATGGCGTGGTGGTTTCAGATGATTAAAAAGAGCAAGGCTGGAAGGAAGCGGGGGGGATAATGCTGTTTGTCTCATCTCTCCTCCCTCTGGCAATTTCTTTCTCTCACTGCAATTTAAAAAGTGTGTTCAGATGTAAAACAGATTTAAGGATTAATGTTTAGAAGAAAGATTTTTATTTTTTTTTCCCTGAGGTAATTTGTTTTCAGTTGTTTTGTATGCTGTCAGGAATGTGAAAAGTAGTATTTAGAGTTAAAAGCAAATAGGAATTATCCTTGCAAATTAGAGATTTAAAGTCTTTCTAAAATTAAAACAAGAAAGAACTTTCCTCCGTAACTCCTTTATCAATAGCTGAGGAGGATGCAAAAGTGTGTGTGTTGGTGTGAGGAGGGAAAATAACGTATTTACCAGGTTTTGGTTTAGTTTATTTTTTTTCCTTCTGAAAGCTTGGGCTAAGCTGTCACAGCACATTACAGGAAGTTTTATTTTGCTGAGATTTTTTTATTATGTGTTTTTTTTATTATGTGGGGTTTTTTTGCATGAAGAGAGGGGTGGTGGTGCCTTTTCTTTTTTTTTTTTTCTTTTCTTTTTTTTTTATTTGAGCTGTCAGATTTCCAGACTTATTGTCTTTATTGTTCTTGCTGATTCCTAACACAGGGTGACTTGAATCATTTGTCTTGTCTTTCCTTCCTGCCTTTGTGTAGACTTCTTGGCCGTACAGCAGGGAACTGAGTACTTTTTTTTCTTCCCTCCCCCTCTGCCCCCCTAACTGATTTATTTTTCAGATGTCGGACACTCTCAGGATCACCCAGACCAAAGAACTTTAAGAAGGTTCATTTTATCAAGAACATGCGGCAACATGATACCAGAAATGGCAGGTACTGTGCATCCAAAGGCTGCTTCTGCAAAGGCAATCCATGGGGTGCAGGGGAAAGGGAAGGGTCAGCATCTTTATGCAAGGGCACAGGATGCTGTTGTCACTTGCCACGTATATAGTAATAGCCTTTATAATAGTCTGTGAAGGCTCCTTCCTTGGGTGAAGTACAAGTCAGTGCAGGTGCTAGCCCATGGATTTTTAAGACCTGTGTCTCTGTAATACAAATAATTTGTGTAAAAAGAAAATAAGTGGGAGTAGGTTAGGCATAATATCATCTGGTTGTGTTTGTCAGAGGGTAGTGCCAGGTGCTAAGTCTGAGGGGCACATGGCTGAACGTGTCTGGAATAAGTTTATCAATGGCTGAATGATATTTCAGGATCCAATAGTGGGTGTAAAGGTAGGTGTCAGGATAGCTGGGTTGTCAGGGTTGCCTGTGGCTGGAGGCTAAGTGGACAAGTGACTCAAGAAGAAAGCTTCAGGGAAAGGTATTAAGGTTATCTTGAGTCTTACAGGATAAATTACAAATGTGACATATTCCAGTCGCACCCTTGCATCAAGTGGTGGTTGGTGAACGTGCAGCTGAGGAGGGTTGTGGCAAGCTGAGGAGGGGGATCCTTGTTTTCAGGGCTGTTGCAGGCACAGAGGTTCTCAGGGGATGTGTGAGAGCTGCAGCTGCCCCACGCCTCGAGCTGGGGTGTGCACTGCCTGGATTGCAGCTGTAGGCACCAGTGGGACCTGTACAGTACCAGTCAGCTGGGACTTCCGTTATTACAAGGGCACAGTGCCTGCGTGGTGCTCCCATCAGCAAAATAGGTTCTTTATTGCAATATCATCCAGCTCAGCAGTGGAACTAGCTTATAAAGAAGACACCTGCCCGCTGTTTTTTTTTCCCCAGAATCTATTTCCCTGTGTGCCTCATGATTTTATTCTTGTGCTTCCAAACCTGAATAGGTTTGAAATGGCTACCTGAATAGGTTGCATATAGACTAGAATATCTCATTGAGAGCTGACGCCTGTACTTGTCTGTTCTCACACAACTGCCATGGGTGAGAACCATGTATGTTCCTGTGGACTGATCTGTGCACGTAGCTGGTGGTTTCTATCAAACATGGAACCAGGTCATTAGAAAGTCTGACATAACACTGAACCACAGGTTTTATGAATCAAGTTCTGGTAGTTGTTACTTGATTCAAAGAAAATTTTGCTTGCATTTATTCTCACAGGTACAATTAAATTAAGTGAATGGTAGTAATCAACATAAGTACTGCAGAAGGTGTCTCTGAGAGACAGTGGCTTTTTAGAAACAGCTTTTTTTAGCAAACAGGCACATGGCAGAACTGTAGAACTGTTGATGTAACTATTGTCTGACTAACAGCTGATTATTGTCTTTATAACAAATACATGTGAAATCAAATGCTGTATAGCAGCCCTCTAATTTTAGTCTGTTTTGTGCATAAAGATATGTACACTCTGGGAATTTCTTATAACAAAAATACTTACTCATAAAGTATTATGCAAATTCCACAGAGAATGAGTAATTTCTGAGGTGCATATATGAAGTACATCCATCAACTTGATAGAAGTATTTACCCTGAAGAGCTGAATAAATATTTGATTCATTAACTGTTCTCTCCATCTGTTGCAAAATAGTATTTGTAGGATATATCCTAGAATTTAATCTTAGTTTATATGCCAGTCGTTATATCTGATAATATAACTGAATATTTGTCTTGCTAAGAAAATAGAGAATAAGCTTCTGTTATTCAACTGGCTTCTTATCTTTATCAGCAGACACAGTTTTCCAGAATATTTCTATAACAATAATAGAGATCCCTTTATCTAGAATACAGGTACAATAAGAATGAGATACAGTTTTGGAAACGTTTTTCGTCCTGTGGTCAAAGAGCCATGGCAATATTAGCTAAAAATAAAATGCAAAATCAACACTTCATGCCACTCCTAACACCAGCTAAGTCTAGCAGTAAGTAATCTGAGCACATATTTTTCCAAGGAGTCTGGATGCTGTCGCAGTCACTGAAGTTAATAGGCATTCTGGATGAAAACGACCTTTGGAAATTCAGCTGGATCTGCTTTATGTGTTCATCCTAAAATCTAGTTTCTGAGTACCTGAAGACCTTTACAAATGATGTCCCCCTCTGGTTGCCTGTGACATGGAGAAGCCACGGGTATTTAAATGGATAGAAACTCCCCATCCCTGGCTTGTTCCCATACCTGGGACTTCATCCCAGGCATCTTCTACATCGTCATGCTGGATGCGGGTGCTGAGCTGGGCTGGAGTCTGTCTCTCTGAGCTCTCTCCAAAACCCCATACCCTTCAGCCTTTCACTTAACTTGAGTAGCCCAGCTTTGAAAACATCTACATAGAAAATATTTCTGAGTGGCAAATTTGATAGCTTTAAAATTGGTGGTGCTTTCAGTAATTGTTGCACTGGCGTGTGGCTGTGAGTGTCACAGCAAAGATAACAGCAGTGTGGGTGATAGCTTGGGGCTCGTTTCTCCTCTTAACTGCCCTTATTTGCAGCTCCCAACCTGTGAAGAGAGTTCTTTCCCTCTCAGCCTGGGGATGACACACACTGAGCAGTGATGCTGTAGTTCCAGCCTTTAGCAGTCCAGTGGCGAGGCAGAACTGGCTGTGGTTAAAATAAGAGTCCAGCTATTTCAGTGCAAAGAAAACCCACCTAAACACAGACCAGTGCTTATCAGCCAGTCCTTGTAAAGCTTCCTGTTGGTGGTTCTGCACACTGGTTAAACCGGTTTCTTTGGATTTGTAGGATGTGGCTTATTAAAGGAGCTGGAAAGTTAGGTTTCCTAGGCTGTATTATCAAAGCAGTCTTGTAATATAACACAAAATAAATTTTCCCATACAAAGATGACGACGAACCAGCCCTCACATACAAGTTAGCAGAGGTAGCCACCAGCATGTGGTGTCATCCTCTTTACTCAGCAGGTTTATTGGTGGTTCTTTCATAAACTATGAAGCAGATTTCCTAACCAGCAGAAACAGGCCACTGAAACAGCAACTCAAGCCAGTTGAACAATTGATGGTGAGAGTGGGACAAGAACATTTTGAGAGTCATCCTGTTTAGCAGATAAAAAAGCAGTAAAATAATGCTTCTCTCCTCCCCAGTGCTATTACTTTCTCAGGTTTTTCTGTTAGTAAATGTACATTTCAATGCCAAGGCCAAAGAGCATCCATTAGGGTATGAAAAGTCTGGATTGCTGCCCTTTTAATGATGGAAACACACACATGCACCCTAAGTTGTTGACTGTTGACAATGTTCTTACTATTCATTATTATTCTCAGCCACCATCCAGTAGCCCCCGACTTGATCTTGAGAGACTTCAAAATTATGTCTGCTACCCAGACAGCATCCATGGTTTGTTTGTTCACCTTTGTGTGCAGGGCAGCAAGGCCTGGGTAGTGAAACATCATCAATCAGGAATGAGAGAAGAGACTACAGTATTCTGCATGTATTGGGTACATACAATATACCACATAGGCTGATAACAGCGTTTTGGTGCGATCAAACCTAGACAGATGCTGAAGAAAATAGACATTATTCTTCTTTGATTCAAATGAATTACTGATTCCATTGAAAGCCTTGTGCTTGGTATGTTTTTGTAGTCCCATAGCATACAACTCATTAGAGAATGGGAAGATTAGCTTCTGCAGTCTCAGACAGTTGCACATTGCCAGAGCTTTCTTGCAAAATAATGGTTGCTCTGAGCCATAGTAATTAATACAACTTTTTGTTGCAATGTGAGAATTGGAGAGTGAAAAGCCTTTCATGAAGTAATTTTAAATGTCTAGGTGGCACAATGGCAATCAAGCACTCATGAACCCACTCTGACTCAAGCTGTTTCTGATGTCAGAGGTCGCTCATTTAGATCTGCACAGGTTCGTAGATGCCCTTTGTTCAGGGGTTGAAATCCAGAAAAATACCTCTGTCTTACAAACGCTAATTCAGTTTTCTTGAACAGCAGTGGGCTTCCACCACACCTTCTTCTCCAAAGCATACTTTGTGATAAGTTTCTGGACTTTCTATTCCAGCAAACCACTGCAGGCCCTCAATTATTTAGTTTGTTTTCTTGGCAGCTCATCAGACAGACCTCTAGATAAAATGTTGTTTTATCCCTTCTTGATGAGCTTCTGACCACTGCCTTCCCTGATTCTCTTCCAGTCCAGCTGCTAAGTCTTGTTTTCTACCAAACTCTTCCAGCAGCTCTGCAGATGAGACTGTGTTATCCTAGCAGCAGAGGTCATGGGCTCCTCTCTCTCCCACCCTGCCCGGGATGTGTTTATGCAGAAAGAGTCCCCCTGTTTATGCAAAGAGAGGCAGTACTTGGGTCCCAAGGGAAAGAAATCTGAACGTAACTGGAGGCTGGGATAGTGCTTTTGATTTCCTTTCTGATCTGATTCCTTCTGATACACACAGCAAGTTTTCTGTGGTGACTTCCCACTGTTGTCTCTGCTTGTGGGCATGGAATCACCAGTTTGTTTTTAAGTATTAGGAATTGAAGTTGTTTTTAGGGAGGTGTAGGGCGTTGGTGGAAGAGCTGTATTTCCAGAAGCAGCCAGAGGGAGTGGGGGGGAATATACTTAGTGGGTACTGTGGTTTTCCAAATTCAAAGATGCATTCTGATGTCAGCCTTGAAATCTGTGCCAAGTTTCATACATCAGCAAACAAGGCTTCCAGTGAACAGGCAAGCTGTTGTGAGTAGCAACCACTCAGCAATAAGCAGTGGCAAGCATAAAATTAATCATATGCCAGTTTTTTTTTGCTCATAGACTGCCTTTCTCAAATGTGAAAAAATATTCTTCCCTGCTTTATGACTTTTATGATGCACCAGGAGACCATCTTACAGGATCTGAGATATTTAGCATAGGTAAGAGGTGTTACAGCATTCAGACAAACAATGAGATGATACTTTATCTGCTGCAGGAGAACTTCCTAATGCTGCATGCGTGTTTATTAGTAGAAACCCTCCTTTATTAAAGGGTAAATACCACTTTGCTTTTAAACATGCTCTGAGGAAAATAGGATTGCTATAATAGAACAATCCAGGAGAGGGCAAGGTGATTGTTCTGCATTTTTCTGCATTTTTCCAGCATTACATGCAGCAGCTCTTTTGGGGATCTAAATCTTTTCCAAGAACTATGACTAAGCTGGTCCCATAAGGAAATAGTGTTTTAATATCAATGTAACTGGTACAAGATTTATAGGTGCATATGGTGGTTTTCAGACACTAAAGTACAAAACAGCTTGCTAGGGTTTGTTGTCCAACTTGGACTGGTGTGAGACAAACAATGAAAAATTGAGGTGAAATCCTTACACAGATCTGTGGCACACAACATCAATGTTGAGAGTAATCAATGTTGGAGAGCAGAGCAAGGAAGTGAAATAAGCCCAACAACCAATATAGCAGTAGCTCCCAGCATTTGGACCACATGTATGGATTTTTAGGAAGGTAAAACATCAGTAAGTTCTAACATTAATCAGATTAGAAGATGGCAAAAATTGTCATCACTGTATCTTTGAAATATTGAAGGGGATGCAACCTGTTGGCCAGCTTCAGAGGAAAGAAGTATATTTTTACTGTACAATTGTTGGTGTCCTGAAGGTAATAAGGGAAAAGGGTATCTTCATAAACAATCAGTTATTTATTGACATTTGATATATTGCATCTTGATCAAGATTCTCTTGGCTTCTTGCCAATCTGCTTCTCCCAGAAGTAGAATTCAGTAGCTATTGGTAGTTCACACATTTTTTTTGGAAAGTGGGTCTTGACCTCAAGGTGGTTTTGGTGTTGCTTTAATGATATGTCAGATCTTGATGGCTAAAGGTAATAGTGTGGCTGTAAAACAGACAGGTTGAACTCAGGTATTTGATTTAATGACACGCAGTGACTTTGCAGATGATGCAGAGATTGGGAGTTTGGATTGGTTGTTGATGTAAGAGTGACCTGGATTCTGAGATAAGCTCTCTGCAGGCAGATATTACATGCTTTCAGGTAGCCAAGTCTTGAGCTACCTGCTTATGAGGAGTGAAGGCAAGCTGTGCTTGTAGGAGGGGGATTCCTGACAGTTAGTGACTGAGATAGACATGGTGCTGGAGAAGAGGGGGCAAGGAGCTGTGGGATCAGCTGTGCCTGAGTGTCAGTGCAACATCGTAAGAGAGAGGACTGATGTGAATGAGGAGTGCAGAGGCTGGGAGGCCATCAGGGCTAGACATTAATCTTAAACATAAGACTGAAGGATGTGATGTTTGTATCTGCCGTCTGTGCAACTGCTGAGACCAGTGGTACTGCCCAGAGACCAAGAAGGGCAATGGGGAAAAACTCACCACAGATTGAAGGAGGAACCTAGAAAACAGTGAAAGGATCTGGAGCTTATGATAATAGCAAACTTTGACTTCATCCGTGAGTTTGGGCTGTTTTGGGAGCAGGAAGCTGATTGAAAATCAAAGGAGTCCTTTGCTTTAGCACAGAAAGGTCATGACCAACAGCTGGAAATTCTTGTTCAAGAAGTGTAGACTCCAGGTCAGCCCCACAGTTGTGGTGTGCATCACAGGTGGTTGTTGGGTGTGCATCACCTGGGTTGCTGCTGGATTTGTTGCTTTAGGTTCAGCCATGGTGAGTTGTTAGAACAGCTTGTTGCCCCTCTGGGTGGGCTCCTTTCACTAGACAGACATCTATCCTGGATTCCAAGGAGTGTGTTCAGGATAGTCTTCCTAGAAAGCTTGCAGAGGGGATGGAGCTCCACTACTCATTTGCTGTGTAATGTATGGCACAGGCTTCAGCACTTCTGTTAAGACTCAGCAGCACAATACCCTGTGTGTGAGATAAAGGAGAGGAAGGAGAAATCATCTGTGGTGGAAGTTTTGTTATTGCACATTCCTCTGTTGCTTTGCTTATTGTGGTGGGATTTTTAAATTTTAGTCTTTGATTTCTTTTATTTTCTTTTATATTTTAGAATAGTCCTTATCAGCAGCAGAAGATCCTTCTGCAGCATATTTTCAGTGCTGCCATATCGAGACTGTACCCAAGTCGGGTATGTATATTTATACATGTACTACATAGTCTTTCTGGGCCTGCATGTAGACCTGATAACGGAAACAGCATGATGGAGACTATTGCTTCTACATATCTGCTCTGGGAAGACATAAAAGATATATTTGTCTTGTGTAACGTTACCAGGTTAAAACTAGCTCTTAATCCCCAGTTTATTTATATGTTGCAGTATCGTTGATTATTAAACTGGAGAAAACTACCCCCTTGAAATCAATGTTCTTGAAAAATGCTCTGTTTCTATTGTATCTTCTGACTTATCCTTGACAAAACAAATACTGTAGACAGCACAACTTTTATGCTTTCTCATTCTCCCGTGCAGACATGGTGTTACTGTATGTAGATTTCCAGAGCTATAGACAAATACTTGGATTTAAACAAAATACTTTTTTATTGTACATTTAGCCATTGGTCAGATTATTCAGTCAGTATAAACAATTATTTTGGCCACAACACCATACAGGTTCTTAGCTGGTGTAAGCAATATCCATGGAGCTGCCATGCATCCCTTAATGATGAATGAATGAAAAACTAGACCTCCAATAGAAAAATGTATTCAGATTGAAGCCATTCTCCAATGACTGAGAAGGCATTTTGCTCTTCCACTGAAGCTTCATAAGTGGAAGAAGCTGGATTTGGCTAGGTGACACTGTCTGACACAACTTCTGGGTGCCTTCAGAGGCACAGCACATGTCTGGGAAGGGCAGTTTGGCTTGTTGGCAGCTCCATGCCCCGAGGGCAGAGGAGTAAAGTGTGGCCACCGTAGCCACTTGACCCAGAATACTGAGAGTTGCCCCTAGTTAGGATCTGTTTAGTGCTTGCAGGGCACAAAATTAGGGGAAAATACTCAGCTGATACACTGAGGTGAGCATCAAAGACCCACGAATCATCAGGAATCAAGTTTATCTGGTGTGTAAAAGATGAGTTTGTACATCAGTAATTCAAAATAAAGGGAGGTTATTTTTACTGCACAAAAGAAAGGAGGCACCTTTGTAGGAAAGTTGACTTGCTCTCCTATCTCTTATGGTAATTTTTTCCCCTTGATTAAGCTGGAATGACACATCAGGCAAATTGACAGACTGGCAGCTTTGTTCCTTCTTGGGTTCACTGTCATTCATTTATGGTCATTGCCCTGTGGAAATTGCCTCTTTATTGAAAATTGAATGTATTTTGAAATTCTAATGACTGGTTATACCTTCTAAATTACATCAGTAACAAGCCCAGATGCAAACCTAAATATTACTTCAGCATGTAATGTCTTGTACCATGCCTGCGCAGCAAGACAGGTTTGGAATGAGAAGGAAGCAAGTGCCCATGCAAAACAATCTAGCCCTGTTCCCTTTGCTAAAAAGCCAAGATTTAAAAAAAATAAAATAAAAAAATGCCCTCTGTGTTCCTTCCAGAGCATCAGAGGAAGAGAGGAACAATTCAATGGCACCTCCTTCCAGGAACAGCTGGTGCAAAGAACAGATGAGGCACTATAGCATAAACTGTAGCCACTCTGTTCAGGCTGCACAGTGTTTGCTTACTTCATGTCACATTTTGGATATGTGGTAGAAGCAGGGGAGAGACACTAGTACCCTTCTGAAGTACTGTAGTGACAGCATCCTTTAGCTTTGCTTTCTCTGAATCTGCTGATGGCTGTCACTGAGCAAGATGTCCTAGATGGTGTATGTTGAGCAAAGATTACTAAATAGTTTACAAAAGAAACAAATAGTTGCAGGGGACCTTGAGCACCTCTGCAGTTAGGCTGGAGCAAGCCCTGGTAGGAGAGGCATGATCATGCATGTGGGAGGGGACTGTTCCATGTGAGAGAAGCACATGGTGAAGCTGCTGCTTCTCCACCTCAGCTCCAACTCACAGGCACTGCAGTCAGTGAAGATATCTCCAGGCACAGCTGTGTTCTCGGGAGGCTGCCAGCTGCTGTTATATTGTAGGCAACACAAAAGAGCTCTACTGTATCAGTGCTGACAGCTACACTGCATCAACAGATCCATTTTAAAAACCTGTCTGAAAGGCAGTTCCTGTAGTCCAAGCTAAACTCTGTCTACTTGGCCAGGGTGGATGGGGCAGCATCATCCTGTATCAACAAGGTGTAAGTAATGTGCTGTAGCCTGTGGCTCTTGCTTGCCCACCTGCCATGCTGAGGTCAAGCTACAGTAGCAGGAGTCATAGAATGGTTTGAGTTGGAAGGGACCTTAAAGGTATCTAGTTTCAACCCTCCTGCCATGGGCAGAGACACCTCCCACTAGATGAGATTGCTCCAAGCCCCATCCAACCTGGCCTTGAACACTCCCAGGGAGGGGGCAGCCACAGCTTCCCTGAGCAACCTGTGCCAGTGTCTCACCACCCTCACAGGAAATAATTTCTTCCTAATGTCTAATCTAAATCCTACCCTCTTTCAGCTTAAAATCATTACCCCGTGTCCTTTCGCTATAAGTCCTTGTAAAAATTCCCTCCCCAGCTTTCCTGTAGCCCCTTCAAGTACTGGCAGGTGCTATAAGGTCTCCCCAGAGCTTTCTCTTCAGGCTGAACAACCACAACTTTCTCAGCCTGTCTTCACAGGAGAGGTGCTCCAGCTCTTTGATAATCTTCATGGTACTCTTCTGGACTCACTCCAACACCTCCATGTCCTTCTTGTTTTGGGGGCTCCAAAACTGGACACAGGACTCCAGGTGCAGTCTCACAAGAGCACAGTAGGACAGAATCACCTCCCTCGTATTTGATGGAAACCTAATGCTTTCACTTACAATGTTTTTGTGCAAGGGAAAAGGGGAGAATTAAAATTAAATCGACAGAGGTTTTCAGATGTGTTATCTCCTGCTGGAGTCACTGAGAGACAGGTTCTTTTGTGGATCTGGGTCCTATCTAGGTCCAGCTGCATTAAGATGGCCAGCATGTTTGCTGGTGGTGTGAAGACAGGCACAGCTTCACCTGTTTCCATGGCCAGGTGAAAGCGATGTAAGGAAGGCTATACTGCAAGTCAGGAGCGGAAAGAGGCACTGAGCATCTGGTTTGCTGGCTTCCTTTGGCCTCCACTGTCCTTGTGGTATGACAGCACAAAGTCATTAGACCATGTGCAGGGTTTAGTGGTGGCTGAGGGCAGTGATGAGAAGCTTGTCATGTACTGAGAGCACTGTAATGGTGTTATTGCCTAAGTTGTTAAATTGACAGACACACAAACTCTCATTATTACAGGCTGGTCTGCAGAGGCAGTTAGCAGGATCCAGCAACACTGATAATGTGTGAATGTTTGGTTTTGGTTATTATTTTATGAAATACAATGTACTTGTGTGATGCACAGTTTAGAAGCGAGGAGATTGAAGTGCTAGTGGTGGTACTGCAGGATTGGTTATGCAGTTGCTACTCTTTTTTCAATGTATAGGAAATCTCTGTGGCAAAAGAGTTTGCATGATCTGAATTTTTGTGTGGAAAAAAGTCTTGTTCACCTGTGAAACACACATGCTGTTACCACACAGATTTTGCAGTAAAATTTACAAGCAAAACACATGCATAAGGAGATGCAGCAGTAACTGCTAAACCTTTTTTAACATTGTGAAGAGATACCCGAGCTTTATAAAAATAGTTTCTCCTCCCCTTTCTCACCATTCACTTATGTTGCACTATGGATCATGTTGACACCACAGTACTCTTTAATAATACTTAGAAATTTGAAGCATCATATGTAATGTTATGCTAATGCTATTCTTCAAGTTACTCTTTCTTATTTAAATATAACACTCCAAAAGATGGAAGAACTGCTTTGTGAAGGGTATTGATTTCTGGCTTTCTGGAAACTGGATTTCTAGCTCAGCGTCCACTTTACGTCTTCTTTTCAGGAGATGAGAATGAAATCCCATCTAGTTCTGCAGATGGGCAGAAAATGGGAGGTAAGGCCAGTTATCAGAGGTCTACCTTTTGCAACCTCTGAGCTGCCGTGGCAGAAGGTACTGTGTTGTCTTTCCCCACAGGAAAAAAAGGTAGTGCAGCTAGTTGAGTTTATAGTTCTCTTGTGTTGTGGGTTTTTTTCCTTTGGCACACATCATTCTGGTCCATAGTTTAAAAACATGTATTTGAAAAGGGACTTTTTAGGCTTATTTTTGCTAATGGCAAAAACATTCACAGATTGAAATCATACCTATTCTGATGCTATTTTATTTTGTGGTGTTGTAAGAACCTGTTAAGAGCTTCCAAGTTCCTGTGAAGTCCTTTCCAGAAGATGAAGCTAGAGGACCTGGGGGAGGAGAGCTGGTGGTGTTGCAGGGATGTAGCACTGCAATGCAGCTAGTCCTACATTCAGCTCTCAGCCACTGGGCTTGCTGGGTTGACTGCCATTGGGGCCAGAGGTGATGAGCTTTAGGACAGAAAATTCAAACTATCAGATAGTGCATGTCCTTTTAAAACCAGCCAGTTCACCTCACCTTTTATTCTTCGTGGCAGTGAATTCATTAAGTGGTTGGAAACTTAACCTGCAGCAGGCATAGCTGCTGAATATTGCTGTCTTGACAAGAATACAGGTATTCATCTGACTGAACTTGCCTCCAGTTAAGGGCAATAATGCAATATGAGTAATTGAATGGATTCAAGCCCAGGAAATGGACTGTTCTGAAGTAAAGCAGCAACTTGTTAGATAAAACCAATTTGTGTCCTTCTCAGAAATGCTGAAAACCAGCTTCATCCAGTTTTAAAGATAAATCACTGCTGAATTTAAATTTAACTAAGTGCAGGCCAGAACACTAAGGAGTTTGGTAATACTAAGAGCAAGAGCTTTTCAATGCTATTACCCGAAACAACATTTAGCTGCAACGTTCAGTGGGTCCATAGGCCAGGCATTCGCAGCAGCCTTTGTTACCTAAACTCTGAAATCTTTGTCCATCTTCAGTGCTTAAATTGGGTGAGAAAGTCATATGAAAAATGAGGCAAAAAGAAGCATTTAGGTGAGCTTGTCACCTCAGCCTTGCCATCATTTATTTGGCAGGTCAG